TCTTCTGAGAGAAAACATCAGGGAGGTGATGATGGCTCAATGACCCCACCATGGTGTTTTTAGCACTGTGTCCCAAGTCCTGTGTTTTGACATATTCCTTCAACTCCTTATGGCAAGCAACACTTCCATTCCTCTCCTCTCGGGGCCTCGTAAGCCTCCTTCTTGTTATCCCAAACCACCACCTAGTGGGTGCCCGAGATCCCACCACAGCCCAGGGAGAGGGCTACACCACGGCCCGGGGAAACCAGGCTGCTCTTGAATGACCCTTAAGTGATGAACAGAGCTGTGTGCCAGCAGGACACCATCGGAATTTCGGAGTTTCACTTGGCTGGGCTGTTTGTTACATGCAAAGCAATTAACAGAAAAACCCTCCCCTTCACGTCAGTGGTGCCTTGCCTCATGCTGTTATAGGGTCTGCAGTTGAAACTGCATACAGTTCCTGGAAATGCTGAGTAAACCCCCAAATATTCCCTTGTTTTTATAAGCCAGATTCAGTTCTGCAATGTGTTGAGCATGTGAGTAGCTTCACTCGTGAATCAATCCACTGATAGGATGTACTGATCATTCCACCTTAGCAAGTATTTTACCCTGTAGATTTTTGCACTGAAATCATTGTAAATCCTTGCAGATGAGTCTACTAGAAAGAACTGAATTTAATAACAGCCTGAAAACCTTCTGAAACCACACCAGATGGCAGTGAAAAGACAAGGTGTAGGCTGTGTGGTTGGTTGGTTCCTCAAAACTGTCAGGAGATGACCTCTTTCCTTACAGCTGGAGAAGGATTGATGGCTTTCCTTCCTCAGGGAAAAATCTATAATTCAGTCCTCCCAAAGAGAGAAACAAATGTTTCATGAGAAATCCCTTGCTGAGTTAGAACCTCTGAAAACATTAATGGTGGTAACCAACATCACGGTCATGTTGAAGACCCTCACAACACCCTACGTGCAGCTATTGTTTCCAGTGATGAACCACTGCCTTCACATTGCTTGTTGACTGAAATCAGGTCAACAGATGTATTTTCTTTATTGCTGCAATTTCCAGCAAGTGTTTGAAAATACATGGTTTGGCCACTGCTCAGTAACCCAGTGTCATTAATACAGCAGTTTCTGGCTGAGGGCCGTGATGTCACAGGAGGTGTCATCTGCTGCAAGAGGGATCAGGACTCTAACAAAACATTCTGAAGAGGATCTACAGAAGACCCAGAGAAATGTCTGGCAGCTGGAAAAGCCTGCGACATTGGTCAGTTGAGTCTGACATAAGTCCATGCTGCTGTTGAAGAAAGGAAGTTCTATCCCTTCTAAACTTGCTTGTCCTTGCCAGTTCTCTCGTGCCATAAGGAATGAGTTCTCTGGAAATAACCCCATCAGTTCAGAGACAAGTTAAAAATTCAGTTTCAGCTGGATCAATTCCAGCAGAACCTGGCTTACACAGAGTCCTGGATACGCTTCCCAGTTAATAATGGTTACTGTAGCACTGAAAATCAGAGAGGTGTGGGCAGAAGGGACCTCTGGAGGCCTCTGGTACAAGTTTCTGCTTGATCCAGGTCTGCCACCAGAAGCAGACAAGATGTTATATCAACTGACCTACACGGTGTGAGGAGGTCCAGGTCACTGGTAGAGTGATAGAGCTGGCAATGAGTTAGTGATTGCCTGTGGTGCTGTCTTCACTCTAGAGTCTCTGTTTCTTTCCTTGCTGATGAATGCCATAGATCAAAATGCCACCATCATGCTCTGAAACAACACTCAGTGAATCCTTCAGGGTCTCAGCTCATTCAGAAGTCTCAGAAAGCTTGTAACAGGGTGGGTTGGTTTTGGTTGTGAGGTTTTTTTTGGGTTTGGTGGGTTGGTGTTTTGTTGGGGTTTTTTTTTTGAGAGCTCAGCCATGGAAAAATATTTAATTTGTCAAAGTCATAGTGACTTTTAGGCCATGTCCCTTTAGAAATGCTGACCTAACAATAGTACTAATCAGAAAGTATGGCATTTATAGTATCTTAATGGCATGCACCCAAAATAGATTCTAGTTATATCAGCAAGTTGACAAGCTCACAGGGTACAGATAACTCTTGTAATTAATTTCTAAAAGTCACAGGAACTGTAAAGTTGGTGTGGGTGGAATTTAGTTTTTTATTGAAATAATAAAGTGCTAGAATCACATTTATCCTGGTGTTATTATAGACTTACTTGAAGGTAAATTAAATCAGAATTTGGCTTCCCAACACTGTTAGGATAAAACTGTTAATTTTCCTCTCTTATGCTAATGATTCTGAGAAGTATGGGCTCTAATTAGAACATGAATAGAGAACACACTGTGACCTGCTGGTTCTTAAGGTCTAATGAGTGTAACTTTCTGAGGTACATTCTTTCTAAATCACTTCCCTTAAATAGGTCACATCACTCACTATGCTGGTATCACACATTCACTAGAGAAGCACAGGACAGTAATTCCTATAATTAAAGTTGCCCAACATTTTCATGATAAAAACATGTGCTTAATTTCTTATAGGTTTAACAGGCATGAATACTCAGAAGTGAAATTTTCTGTAATGGATATCTGTATCAGGATAAGGACCTAAATTAAAAATGTAATTATTGTTTTTTAGATACTCACATAGTGGGTAATTACTCTCACACCTTTTCAATATTAGTGTTTGGCTCAGTTTGTAGGACATGTCTGCTTTGGGACAGGAATTTAATTCCATAAAGACTGGAACTAGATCAGCCATATTGTATATCCCTGAAAATTACAGTTCTTGTGTGAATAGAGACATGCTAATGCTTTTGGCTAAATTCTCTGCACCAAATGTTCTCCAGGGAAGAGGCACAGACAAGGTCTAGAGCCATGCACAAACTCAGGCTGCCATGTGGACATCATGCAGCTGCCAGCACTAGTGCTCACCCCTGTAAGTTGCCAGTGGGCATGCACTGAAAAAATCTTATGAAGCTGTTCAAAGTTTCAGGTATTCAGAGGATATGCTGAAATCAGCTTTAAGTCAGCTGGGCTCAAATAAAAAGTGTTGCAGCCTAATGACCAGAGTTTGAGTGGCATTGATTCTGATTTAGCAGTGTTGGTGCTCTCTGTTGGGTGCTGTGACATCAGTTGTTCCAAGCCCTGGACCAAAGGCCTGCCTGCCAGCTACTTTCTCCTTACTTTCTGTCCTGCCCACTCAGATTCCAGGGTCTGCACTGTTGGGTCGGTGATCTGTGGTGTCAGACCCCACAGGTCTTCATAGGACCCCATCAGGTGCTTCCTGGATATTTTCTTGGCTGTTGTTAGTGGTCAAAAGTTGCATTCAGCCTCTAAAAAGTTGTATTTAGTCTCCAGCTGCAGCTGTGGCTTTATCCATCATGATGAAAATCCTGTTCCTGCATATAAGACTACTGCTTGAAATTTTACACAAAGGGATTGAGGTTGTTGGGCTTTTCACAGCTGCCTTGTGGACAGGATGTTCAATAGACAGTAATGATAGCCCAGTTCTCTCAAAGTTTTTCCTCTTCAGGGAGCAAATGTGATGGTGCTCACCGAAGAGTTGACAGCTCAACCTCCCTTTTTAGCCTCTTTACAAAGACTGTGTATCTGGTTTTGCATTCAAATACTTTGTATTCAGACTCTGCACCAAACACAGAATAATTAATTAATATTAATTATTAATTTCCTCGAATAATTTTCTCTGCTGTGCCCCCTTTATTTTAAGTCTTGGATCCTCTCCAGAATTTAGATGATCTAATTACTAGATTATTTTTTTCTAGATAAACAATGATTTTCCAAATCTCTTTCCCACACTTAGCTCCAGAAAGGAGAGTTTTCTGCTGAGATGTAACCCAAACATTTCTAAAGCCTTGCTATATGTCCCCCAGGTATCTGTGGATACCATGGCCAGAGCTTTATCCTCAGGGAAAACAGGAATGAGTTGCTCAGGACCATGTAGCTTATTGACTAATAGCAAGTTTACTTAAGCCAGGGAAGGATGACAGGACCCATCTTGGGTGAAAAACAACACTTAATGGTATTTTTCTTCTGCCTTGGTAGCCAAAGAGTAAGAGGTTAAAGAGAGTCTTCTGCTGCTTAAAGTGCCCCCTTGAATGCAGATGTGGCCTTCACTGATCTCCATTTAAAGATGATGGAATGTGTTTGTTCAGTAACATCATCCAGACTCTCTCTACTGTCACTCTGTGGCAATATAAAGCCCTGGTGCACCTACATTTTGAGCAGTGTGCACAGTTCTGTAGAGCTAGAAGTCACAGAGAATGGCAAATACTGATGTATGGGATGGAGCAGCAGCCTCCCATAACTGAGAGTTTCAGTCTTTAGTCTGGAGAAAAGGCTCAGAAGGGTGTGGTCCAGGACCTGAGGGAATGGCATGAAGCTGTGTCAGGGCAGGTTTAGGCTGGATCTCAAGAAAAGGTTGTTCCCCCAGGGCCTGGTCAGGCACTGCCCAGGCTCCCCAAGGCAGTGGTCACAGCACCAAGAGCTCAAGGAGCGTTTGGACAACACTCTCAGGGACAGGGTGGGAATGTTGGGGTGTCCTGTGCAGGGCCAGGAGTTGGACTGATAATCCTTGTGGGTTCCTTCCAGCTCAGGATATTCCATGAGTCAATGTTCAGGTCGGCAGCGTCCCAGAGCAGCCGCTGCACGGGGATGGCTGCCCCGTGAGCCCGGCCGGCCTGCGGCACCGCGACCGCAGGACGTGGCACCGGGAACCGTCCAGCTCACGGCCCGCTCGCCTGGGCCCTGCGGCCACGGAGGGGTGGAAGCAGAGGCACGGAGACCCGAGGGCAGCGATGGGGCCCACGGGGGCCCCGTAACGGTCCGACACACGGGGACGGCGACTGGACTGCCCGACAGAGACCGCGGGGATCGAGACCGACCGTGAGAGGACCGAGTCCGGCAATGAGGAGACCGGGCGGACGCGGCCGGGCCAGACCCGCCTCCCACCCCCCGCGCACGCGCGGTGCCGCCCCGGAGCCGCCGTCCATCGGCGCGTGCGCGGCGCGCGGGGCCCGCGGTGCGCGGCGCCGTCCGGCCGCGCGGTGCATTGTGGGCGCGGCCGAGGCAGTAAAATGGCGGACCTGGCGAACGAAGGTAGGCGGGAGCTGCGGCCGCCGCTCCCTGGCCCGCGCCGACCTCTCCGGTCTCTCGCTCAGCCCTGGCCCCCCCGGCCCTGCGGTCCGCGCTTAGCGGCGTGCCCGGGCACGGTCCCGCCCTCCGGAGGGCCCTCTCCCCGCGGCCGCCTCGACCCCCGCAGGACGAGCGGCCGGACAAAGGGAGCGCCCGGCTGGGCCGCCGCGCTGTCCGCGGGGCGGGGGCCGGGCCGGGGCTGCGCCCGCAGGTGCCTCCCGCTGGGCGGTGGCCCCCGCGGGGGGCGGGACGGTGCTCCCTGGGCGCGGACGGCGGGCCCGGTGCCGGGCACGGGCCCCGGGGGGGGCTCGGAGCCGCTTTGGGCCCCACCTTGTCCAGGTGCTTCCAGGAGTCATTGTCCACAACTTTCGCACTGCTGTAAATCTTTCCTTCGCTTACACCCGTGTTAATCCTTTCTCTAGCTGAGAGAGTAATAGAAGCGGTTATATAAAACGAGGTGAGGTATGATAATAGATGTATAATTTTTTTGAGCTGAAAACCTCAAAAATCTGTTAGTAAAGTGGTTTGACTTTTTTTTCTGAAGAGGATTAAGAGAACCTGGGCTGCACCACTGCGGGATTTGGGTATTCTGCCCCAAGATGTGTACAGTGATGTTTTAACTGTCAGTGGGTGTCTGTAGTTTGCCTTTGGGAATGACAAATGTCCCTCAGTGTTTCTGCAAAAGCCAGTTTGCTCTGGCTGTCTCTGTTTCTCGTTCTTCTCAGGTAATGGAAGAGGGGAAGAAATGTCTCAAGGGAGGTGAATGAAGAGGTGCAAGGCCCCTTTTTCAAGACTGTTTCTTACATTTGAACTGTGCATCAGTGGCAGTTATGGTTCTGATATTAATATTAAACAACAGGAAGGAAATATCTGTTGTAGGTGCAGCCTTTGAAGTTGAGGCCTACAAGCAGCTGACAATACAACTGCATTTAAGTTATTTGACAAATCCTGTGATGCAGCATGTTGGCTTCCAGACTCTAGATGAGCTGTCAGTGCCCAGGGAGGCATGATAAGTGGTCTCAAGAATGGTAGTAGTCAAATATGTGATGACTATTTGTGAGAAACTTAATGGACAGTATTTACATAGTGTCATTATAATGACCTTATAATAAATTTTAGAACTAGAAGCTTGGGAATAGTTATCTTATGTCATAGAAGCCCTTCACTTTACCTCCTCATTCTGCTGGGGAACATTAAGTTCACCAGTGAATTCCAGGTTACCAATACTTATTGCATCTTTTGATGCCAACTTACGTATTTCTACCCCTACCTTTATTTCTGCAGGGTCTTGTCTGGGATGACGGGGGGAAGTGTGATCCCATCCTTACTTTTTTATCTGGTCTTTTTCTCTTCAGACCCTTTTCTACCTCCAGTGACTTCCCTCACCTTCTAATCCTTTCAGTTTGTATTTGGATCTCCTTCCTGAGTTGTCATCTTCATCCTTTTTGTTCTGTTTCTTCTTGCAATAAGAATGTGATACAATCTTCTGTAGCATTAAGCGAGATGAGCTCACTCTGGAACTGTTGTCTCCTGCTCTTCTAGTATGATTGGCTGTTAGTTTTCCTTCCTCCACCTCCATTTTTGAGGCATATGTTCTTCATGTAACAGTGGAAATACATGTATTTTCTCGAATTGGCATCTTTCTGCTGAAACTTGGTGAATTCTGTAGTCTTTCTACTTGCCTTGTTTGCAGTCTGTCATGGTAAGGGTCTTCTCAGGTGGCTGTTTTCTCATCATTCCTAAACACTTCAATTTGTTTTATTTTTCCGTTGTTGTAGGTGAATGCTTTACTTGCTTGTGTCCAGGTATTTTCATTTGAATATATGAAGTAAATATTTTGCTGCTGATAGCAAAATATTTTGCTAAAATATCCTTTGGCCTTCTGCTTCATATTGGTCTTCTCACGTCTGAAGTATTTGATAGCTAAATGTTCATATTCACAAACCAAGTGTGGTTACAGCAAAGCTCTTAATGTTCCTTAATCTTGATTGATCTGTACAACAGAGCTGTCTCAGTCATGCTTCACTGTGAGGTGTGAAGCTAATTATTCTTTGGCACACAGTAGACACGAGTACCTAGAATGAGGTTTCAGCCATTCCTTCGGACTGTGTAGTGTGTTTGAACAACAGCTTTTCTTGTCTGTTCTCTTGTCTTACCCATTTGATTACTGCAGCAAACCTTCTCCTGCCCTTGAAAAGTTCTGGGTTTTGTGCTGTTTGCATCCTCTCATTTTACTAATGCAAAGCTTTTTTAACCTGTTTCTTTTACCATGACACCCCTTTGTTTCAATTAGTTAATTGATTTTTCTGTTTTCAATGGTATATTAGTTATCTTTACCTTCTAAGTTGATACCTCTCTTAGACTATTGAATGTCTTAAATCACTGCTGAGCTGTCAGTACTGCCTGCAAGTAATCATTCTACTAATGTCCTTTACGACCTCAAACTATTTTAATGGATGGTCTTTCTGTGATAACTTTCTTCAAAGCTACAAGCAGTTCCTCTAATATGCTCATAACAGCTTTATTTTTTTCATTCTAGTTGTTCCTTGAATTTTTTCCATTCACTTGTCTTTCCTTTTTCTCTAGTAAGCTGGTGAAACTGTTCCCCTACCTCTTTGTAGTGGAGTGATGGCCAGCTGTATCTTGACAGAAGAAGGTTGTTGGATTAAGGGGGTCCTCTACTGCAGAGAAGGGGGGTGAAGGATCCTAGTGCCACTTTCCAAAGAAGTTTGTACTGTGAAGTTTCATAGGAACAGATCCTGGTCTTGGTATTGCCCCTCATGATGAGAGGAGATCAGCTGATAAGTGTGGAGCTAATGAAGAGGAGGAGAGAGTAACTTCTCCCCAGCTGTGTGAAGTTTGATCGACTTCGTTGCAAAGATTTAGTGACATTGTGATAAAGGTTTTGGGGACTGTCATTGTGAGGTTAATTATTGAAAACCAGGATTTTGGAATGGTAGGCACAATTATTATTATTACTGCTGTATAAAGTGGTTACTGAATGCTCTTAGAAACTTTCTCTTTGTTCTTTGGTGTTCTAGCTGGATCACGTCTTAAAACTGGCACTTCACACAGGTGGCAGTGGAGTATCACAGAGAACCAGCAGCTTCATGTCAGCCCTATCAATTTATGTGAACCTGAATGCTTTTCTCATTAAGTTGCTGCTAATACACAAGTAGTAGTTTGCTTTTCTATAATTTACTGCTGAAGCTGCACTCTAGCCAACAGGATCTCCTTGTGTGGGGAATGAATTGCTTTATCTTTTCAATAGCTGAAAGGTGATACATCTTTTTCTCAGGGCTAAAATTTGATGGATGTTTTCACATTTCCCTTTCAGGAGGTGCCTGCAACTTCACTTCACTTTATGAGATCATTAAACTTACAGTTTATGATCATAACAGGTTTACTGTACGTAACTGCCTTAAATTAAATTAGAGGCTGGAGACCAGTGCTGTGGAAAGGGGCCTAGGGGTCCTGGTTGATGGCCAGTTGGCCATGAGTCAGCAGTGCCCTGGTAGCCACGAGGGCCAACCATGTCCTGGGGGGCATCAGGCCCAGCATCGCTGGCTGGGCGAGGGAGGGGATTGTTCCACCCTGCTCTGACCTGGTGTGGCAGAGTACATTTTGAGTCCTGAGGTCAGTTTTGGGTATCACAATATAAAAAAGACATTAAGTTATTAGAGAGCATCCAAAGGAGAGCTACAAGGGTGAAGGGTCTGGAGGGGAAGCCCTGTCAGGAGTTGCTGAGGTCACTTGGTTTGTTCAGCCTGGAGGAGATGAGATTGAGGGGAGATCTCATTGTGGTCTTCAACATCTGTCCCCCCCGAGGGGCAGCAGAGGGCCAAGTACAAATCCCTTCATTCTCACGACCAGTGACAGGACTTGAGGAAGTGGCTGGAGCTGAGTTGGAGGAGGTTTAGGTTGGATATCAGGAGAAGGTTTTCACCCAGAGGGTGGTTGGGCACCAAACAGGCTCCCCAGAGCAGTGGTCACAGCACCAGGGCTCTCAGAGTTCAAGAAGCATTTGGACAATGCTCTCAGTCACATGGTGGATTGTTGGGGTGTCCTGCACAGCACCAGGAGTTGGACTGGATGAGCCTGATGGGTTCCTTCCACCTCAGCATATTCTGTGACTGTATGAAGTGTACAGAAGATGTGTGAACTGAAGCAGTTCCTTGCAGAGTAATCAGTGTCATTCCTTTGCCACACTTGTATGATGCTTTTGGAGAAAGGAAGGTGTGTTGTTACTTTGAGGGAAAAGGCAGCACTCACTACTCTCTCTAGAAACAAAACCTTTTTTTTTTCCCCATGATAGATTAGTGGGTGAAAAGTTAGGCTGACAGACATGTCCTAATAATTCACACCCAAACACCATGAAGAACTATTTAATTTACAAGATAGAGCTATCTAAATGCTTTAATAATTTTTGTTAATGCTTTTGGGAGTTCTTTATAAATATTTTACCTACATTGCAAAGTGTTTGGGCTTCCTCGGGGTTTTCTTCTTTCTCTCATGTGAAAATAAGCTACTTTTTTTCCATTTTGGACTTGTGACATTTGCTTTATGTGAAGTTCCTGATCTAAAATTTTAAAATTACCTAATTTTGCAGAGGGTAACTTATTTCTGTTAATGTCACAGGGGCTTGGAAAATGAAATAACACATGCTCTGCAAACACTTAAGATTTGTGCTTTAAATGTGATGTAGGAAAATTTTATTTAATCTTAACTATTAAAGGTATTCTACCTTCCCAGCCAGCTGTGGAAGTAGCCTGCTAACTCATGCCATGGCAGACAAAACAAAGAGTTTGAACATGAACGAGAATATCTGATGTTTTACTTGATAAACAGCAACTTCCCACAGTTTTAAAAACGAGGCAGAAGTATCTCTTTTCCCAGTGTCATTTATATTCACCATGACATCACTTGTGTAGTGTGACCATAAATGTCACGTGGCTTGTTCTTTCTGACATGAAGTGTGGCTGGACTTTGCTTGTGGGGGTCTTTTTGCAGATCAGCTCTTGGAGTGGCATATTGGTCTTTGCTTTCAGTCCATTTGTAGCTATTGAAAGAGAATCTTGTGTTGTTATCAACACCTTTAGAATTTTATAGTCCTGCAAATTGCCCGTATCTCTTAATATGTTGTGTTTATCATGATTATTCTGCTTTTCATGATGCAAATAGAAAAGGTGGAAAAAAAACCCCAAGAACACTTTAGTGGCCTGCACTGTTCCAATAAGCATAATTAAACCTAACTTTGAACTTACATTTTTCTTGTCTCTCAGATAAACCTGATCAGGCTTAACAGGTGAGAAATTACCACTCTGAATATATTCACTCAGTTAACACCCTAATTGCTTTTCTCCTTTTTATCACTCATTCATGGTTCACAGGTGTGGTACACTTTTTCTCTCATTATAATGAGTTAAAGTCGAGCAGCAATTTTCAGTTTATATACTTCTGTTGTTGAAGAATTCTTCTGAGATCCAGGCGAGGACTTACTTGCCAGAAAGTTCCTCAGTGCTTTTTTTTTCCCCTGCCTCTAATGTAGTTTTCCATGTAATCAGGCACTATTGCATTTCTCACTGTAACTTGCAGTAAATTTAAAAATAAGGTGTTTGAAACATTGTAGTTCTTAGCTCTAGAAATAAATTCTCCTCTTAATAACCTGGCTACAGCAGATCTGGTGAGGTGTTGAAAGTTGTTTTCATGACATGGGGCCTGGGTTCATTCTAAAATTTAAAGATTAATGTGAGTCACTCAGATGTTTGGTGATCTGGGTTGCATGTTGTTTGAGGAGAGGCTGAAGGAACTGGGTTTGTTCAGCCTAGAGAAAAGAAGGCTTCAGAGAGGCACATTTGGAGCTTATCAGGGTCTGTGAGAAGGTTATTAGAGAGACAGACCCAGGCTCACAGGAATGGTGTATGCTGGAAGGACAAGAGACAAAAGGTGAGAGGTGGAATGAGATGTTTAGGCTGGAAATAGGGGAAAGGTTGAGTTTTTGTGTTGGGGGTGGGTTTTTTCCCTGCCATAAGGGCAGTCAAGCAGTAGAAGAGATTACCCTGGGAGGCTGCACAGCCTCCATCCTTGGATTTTAAGACCAGGCTGGATAACCTGATTAACCTGGCCTGACTTCAGGTCATAACTGACCTTAATTGGAGCAGGAGGCTGGACTAGAGACCTCCAATCTGAATTATCCTGTGCCCTTATGGTAGAGAGACAATGGTCTCTGGTGAAGAAGATGACTGCTTTCTTGGCCTTTGTCACTGCTTTGCCATGGGATTTACTCTGTGAGCCTGAGAACTCTGCAGAGAAACACACTCCTACAGGTATTTCTTCCTGTTTTCATAGAATCTTAGAATGTTTTGGATTGGGAGAGACCTTTGAAGAGTTGCAACACCCCCACAGTGTGCAGGGATACCTTCCACTAGGTCAGGGTGCTCCAAGCCCTATCCAGTCTGGCCTTGAATGTTGCAGCTCCATGAAGCAACTTGTGCCAGTGCCTCACCACCCTCACAGTCAAGAATTTCTTCCTAATATCTAATCTAAATTTGCCCTCTGTCAGTTTGAAGCTATTCCCCCTTGTCCCAAGTCCCTCTCCAGCTCTCCTGGAGCCCCTTTAGGCACTGGAAGGGGCTCTCAGGTCTTCCTGGAGCCTTCTCTTCCCCAGGTGAACCCCCCCAGCTCTCCCAGCCTGGCTCCAGAGCAGAGAGGCTCCAGCCCTTGGAGCATCTCCGTGGCCTCCTCTGGACTTGCTCCAGCAGCTCCACATCCTCCCGATGTTGGGGCCCCAGAGCTGGATGCAGCATTCCAGGTGGGGTCTCACCTGAGTGGGTCAGGGGGTCAGAATTCCCCCCTGACCTGGTACCCCACGCTGTGGGGATGAGCCCAGGACACGGGGGCTTTCTGGGCTGCGAGTGCCTGTGGCCAGGTGATACTGAGCTTCTCATCCACCAATACACCCAAGTCCTTCTCAGGGCTGCTCTCAATCCATTCCTTCTTCAGCCTGTGTTTGTGCTTGGGATTGCCCTGACCCAGACACAGGAGTTGCACTTGGCCTTGTAGAATTTTGTAAGGTTTGCACTGGCCCACCTGTCCAGCTTGTCCTGGTCCCTCCGGATGCCCCAACCCTTCCCTCCAGTGCATCAACTGCACTATACAACTTGGTGTCATTGGCAAACTTCTTGTGGCTTCCCTCGATCCCACTGTCCATGTCACTGACAAAGATGTTAAACAGTGCTGGTCCCAAACTTGGTCTCCACTCGGACATTGAGCTGTTGACCCCACTCCGAGTGTGCCAGCCAGCCAATTTCTTATCCAGGGAGTGTTCCCTCTGTCAAACTCATGTCTCTCCAATTTAGAGACAAGGATCTCCTGTCAAATGTTGTGCACAAGTCCAGGTAGATGATGTCAGTCGCTCTTCCCTCATCCACCAACACTATCACCCAATCATAGAAGGCCACCCAATTTGTCAGGCGTGGTTTGCTGTAAGTGAAGCCATGCTGGCTGTCACCAGTCACTTCCTTATTTTCCATGTGCCTTAGCACAGTTTCCAGGAGGATCTGCTCCGTGATCTTGCCAGGCACAGAGGTGAGACTGACTGGCCTATAGTTCCCTAGGTCTTCCTTTTTTCCCCTTTTCAAAAATGGAGGTTATGTTTCCCCTTTTATAGTCAGTGGGAATTTTACCAGATGGCCATGATGTCTCAGTGAGTGAAGATTGGCTTAGCCACTTCTTCTGCCAGTTCCCTCAGGACCCATGGATGCATGTCATCAGGTTCCATGGTCTTGTGCACCTTCAGGTTCCTTAGATGGTCTCAAACCTGTTCTCCTATAGCAGGAGAGCATTCTGCCAGTCCCTGCAGGTAATTACAAGGGTAATCAAGTGTCAGTTAGGTGACCTTTAAGGAAGGGATGTGTGGAGGTGTACAGCAAACTCCCTTTTCATTCATGTGTGATGATGGGGAAGGAAAAGCATGTGTTCAGCTGGTGAACTACTCCAGCAAAGGGTCTGTTCCTCCTGAGGTACTGAAGTACAGTACAAGTACTAGTTGGAAAGACATATGGAGGGGAAAGACAAATAGTTTTCAGATACTGATTCTGTTTTTCTCCTTAAAACACTCCTTTTTTCCTTATATGTTACCGGGAATTGGTGGAAACAATATGTGTAACTGAGATTTAACTGGTTTAAGGTTTCATTGTTGGTAAAGGCATCACAGAACTTAACATTTTCATATTAGTTACTAATGAATGTGGTTGGAAAAAACCCCAATGATTTCTCTTTTTACAGAAAAACCTGCCATTGCTCCACCTGTCTTTGTATTTCAGAAGGATAAAGCACAGAAGGTAAGGAGATGTTGATATGGCTTTTTATTTGTTTTGTTCTTAGCCTTGACTCCTTCCATGGTGATCAGCCCTTTGTCTATATTGTTGTGAAGTTGAAGATGGATAATCCAGCATTAACATTAGTAATGGGCATGGGGCAAGGAGGTACTGAAAGGCTAAAAGTGGGAAGATGTGTGATGGTAGCACAATACAGGTAGCTCCTCAGACAGAAAATGGAACAGTCTGGGAGAAAAAGTATCTGTAAAGGTGTATCTTGAATGTGTGGCAAAGGAACGCTGACAGTTGAGTTGCATGAGAAATCTATAAAGTTTCTTTATCTGATAATCGTGTTAAGACAAAGAAAACTGGTCTAGATTATCATTTTTCACCTCAGTACATTTAAGCGTCTCTCATATCTTTGGTTAGCAAGCTGTAAAGTGTTAGTTACCTTGGGAAATGGCAATCCTGTTCCCTCATCTCGATATACTAAGATATTTAATTCTTCCTGGTTAATAGTAAAAGCTATTAAGATTTGGGGGGTAGGAAAAATCAAGGTTACCGTTGTTTCACTTGAAGATGGTGGGAACCCAGAGAGGTGTAATTGTGTACACACGATGCACTTTGTGTTGGATCACTGGATTGTTATGTTATCTGTGCAGTCAGAAAATGTTTGAATTGAAATACTCAACCATTTTTCAGTTGATAGCTTTTCTTTGGTTTGGAATAAGTACCAGACTTCAGCTTTCTCACAGGTTCAGTAGGCATATTCATCATCAGAGCTTGAAATCTTTTCTTAGTTTGGGAAGGATTTAAATCTACTCTCCTCATATTAGCTAATCAAATTAACTCTACCTGAGAGTAAGTACTTTTGAGATGTTCTTTCAGTTAGATTTTTTTACAGCAATTGTTTGCATGTACTTCAGAGTGAAGGGAGTGCTGGTGTTTGCACTATCCATTGGGATCACGTTTACTTTTAGGAAACAGCTCCAATTACCCACTGTTGCTTAGACTGTTGCTGAAGTCCTTTCTGAGATGCATCATGGTGAATGTTCTCCCCAGGTGTCCTTTAACCTGGCAGTGCTTCCATGGTTAGCCTGGAAGGAGTGATCATAGCAGTGTGCAGCCCAGGCAGAGTGATGTGCTCCTGTGTCCTTTTTTGTTGGCCTGGTCCTTACATGCCAAGATGACAGTTCTTGTGCTCTCAAGTTCCTTCATGTTGTACCTTTGCTTCTGCACAGAGTGCACACCTCCAGGGGCCTGCACAGTCCATGCCTTCAGTGTTAGGCTGTGCAAGCTTCTGCATCAAGCTGTGAGACAGATCTGTTGTACTCTGATAGATCTCAAGAAAATACTTGTAAAAAAATTTATAAGTTAAAGGCTTAATGTATTTTTGAACTGGCAGAGAGGATCCAGGAGATCTCTGATTGTCTTCCCAACTGCTGAGAATTCTGAGCACTGTGGTGGTGCTGAGCCAGTAGCTGTTTTCAGGCACAGCCAGAGCTGTGGGGTGAAGGGTCTGTCTGTGTCCAGCCTTGTGGGTTCCCAAGCACCTTGAAGGTTACAGGGGTTAGAGAGGAGTTAGAAATTAGTCTAAATGCCAAGTGGTGGTGGTGCTATCAAGGGGGCTTAGCCATGGTCACCCTGGATGTGGAATAAGGTCTAGATTGACTGGGGAATAAGGCTTGTTCAGGAAGATCTGGCATCTGTCAGTTAGTTACCAATTTTCAAAGTAGTAACAGGCATAAATGCTTATGTTAAAGTGTGTATTATATGGAGATGCAGGATTTTTTAAAGGGGAAGAGAGAGTGATTAATAATTTTAATAGCTTCTATTGTATGTATTTGACACTGGAGAGAAGGAGTGGTAGAAGCATCAGTGCTGTGCTTCTTGCAGTTTGATTAAATAAAGCTTGTGCCAGTAGCTGGTTTTTGGTGTATAGATACAGTAGTAATATAGTTAGAACACGGTTCTGTGAGCCAAAAGTAACAACCACTTAATCTATACTGTATATATCAGAACTAGCATTCAGGTCAGCTTTGATCAACTTAATCAAGGAAAGGTGCCTCAGGTTACAGACTGGTTGAGACCTTTCACTGTATTTTCAGAAAGACATAATAGCTAAATGTTCCCATTAACAGTTAACTCCATTAGTATTTCTGTAAAAGGTGCCTGGTTAAGTGCATTAAAGTTAACAAGGAAATTCTTTGAACAAAGGACTTTTTCCTAGAGCAATGTTTTGAAGAAAATGCCAAAGTAACTTCAAAATAATTGTCAAAAACCACACTTCTTGAATATGTAATTTCTCTATGTAAATTGCAATTTTAATTTAGTCTGTCAAGTCACTTTTTTTCTGTTAGCAAAAGTGTTCATGGAGGCTTTTCAGTGCTGACACAGCAGTCTGACAGTACACCAGGGGTGAGGAAAAGCATTGCATTGTGTATTCAGTTGTATGTGTGTATTCAGTATGATGATTGCTAAGATGTTTGTTTAGTGCTCTTCCATGTGAACCAGGACATCCTGAGCAGAATTATTTTTTTACAGAGTCTACAGACTCTCTCAGTATTACATCTGGGTTGATATAATTCAATGGTCTTACTGCCTTTTCTGAAACTAACAGTGTCTACTATTAAGTTAAACAACATTATTTCTTTAGAAATCTCTTCTTAAGTTTGTGCTTGTAAGGTATCAGATATTTGGGTCACACCAACCTGGTGGAACACTCCAGGTTTGGGGCAGAGTGACTGGAGAACTGTGCAACAGAGAAGGACCTGGGGATGCTGGTCAGTGGTGGCTGAACATGAGCCCAGGTGTGCCCAGATGGCCAAGAAGGCCACTGGCACCTGGCTTGTACCAACAGTTGTGTGTCCAGCAGGGCCAGGGCAGTGACTGTCTCCCTGTGCTGGGCACTGCTGAGGCCTCACCTCAAAACCTGGTTTCAGTTTTTGGCTTCTCATGACAAGAAAGACTTTGAGGGGTTGGAGCATGTCCAGGGAAGGGAACGATGCTGGGGAAGGGGCTGGAGCACCAAGAGTGGAGCCAGGTGAGGGTCAGGCTCTGCTCCAAGAGAACAAGGGACAGGGCCAGAGGAAATGATCTCTAGTTGTGTTGGGGTGGTTTAGGTTGGATATTAGGAAACATTTATTCACCAAAAGGTTGTACAGCCCTGGCACAGACTGCCCTTCCATTCCTGGAGGGATTTAAAAGCCATGTGGATGTGGCACTTGGGGACATGGTTAGTGGTGGCCTTGGCAGTGTTGGGTTGATGTTTGGACTTGATCTTAGAGATGGTTTCCAACTGGAATGATTCTATAGTTCTATGATCTGTTTCTCTGTTAGAAGTTGGAAAATACTCAGCATGTTGTAGGACAAAGTTCATACTAGTTTGGAAACTAATTTTATAACTTGTCTTCCAGCTAAGGTTTTATGCACTTTAATAGAACTTTAGAACTTGCAGTTTGTCATGTTGATTTAGAGGGAACAAAAAATGCATGGTGTTCATAATGCTGCCTCTAAATTTTTTGTTCAGTAAGGAGGTTTGAGTTGTTTTCTCTTGCAGTTAAAGACAGGATTAGTCTCTCTGTCGTTTTCATTATAGATATCAATTAATGGTGGATGTCAAGTTGGCTGTTTCTACATTTGAGTGAGTCTCCATTTTTGTGATTTTCACATCTCCTTAACACACTGAGAACTATTTTAACAATGTGTGAAATAGAGATAGTCTCACAGATATCTGAGTGTTAGCACTGCTGTTCATATTTCTGACAGGCCTGTGCTTTGCATAGCACTTTTTGAATTAAATATTTCAGTTGATGGATACAGCTTATTCTGTGATGAATGTTAGACACTTGTTTGACTTGTGTTTCTGCTCTGAAACTAATTTTAGCTTTGCCATAAAACCATTTCATGACAAGTTTCTGGCCATAGGTTTCTTGAAGTTATTTTCTGAAGTTAGCTTTTAACATGCATTTCTGAGGTGAAAGCATTCTTGTTTTTTGGATTTACATATTTTTAAGCAGGTATAATGGCTCAAACAAATTTAACACAGTAGTGTGGTAAAGAAACATGTTGTCCAAAAATGCTTTTGTAGTAACGTCATTTGTTCTGCAAGTGTGAGCTGTGGTGATCTTCTGGTAATTACTGATTCTCATCATGTTAGGATCATTATGACCTCCCTAGCCTCAAGTACAACAACAGGTAGATATGAAACTGTGATATTAAAAATTTTTGTGCTTGGAAACAAGCCATTGTCTATGGTGTAGCTTGTGCCTTGTCCTCTTCCCTTTGCCTGCCTGGGCTGGGATAATGGTAGAATATAGAAAAGAACACTTTATATGAAAAAGAACAACTTGTTATATGACTGGTTTTGGTCAGTGTACTGCTTTCTGTAGGTGAATTGATAGTGCTGAGCTTTCAAGGATGACTCTGAAGGAAGATAAGTTACATGATGCTTGGATCATGTTCCAAAAATGTTTCTTTAACTCTTCTCATTCTGTGGGGTCTTAAGTTAATGTTTGGATCTGTTGGTAACAACTAAATATTAAAACCAGAAAATTTTGACAGTACAAAAGCCCAGCATCCCCAACTTTTACCTGGCGTAGTATTACCCAATGTATTTCAACTGTTTTCAGCCTTAATTGTAGTAATTTCTTGCAAGATAAAATTTTATGTATTGCAGGCTTTTAGTAATTGTTTCTCTTATGAGAATAGGACAAATCTTACTTGGAGAACTTGGAGCCCTTAAGATGTAAATGCTGCTGTTTATTTTTGAGGCTTCTGTTTACTCTCTTGCATGGACCTGGCATTTTTAATCTCTCTTCATTCTACCAAGTGTTTTCTGTGAGCAAGCCAAGGTTGTGTTCATCTTTGCCTTACTGCTTGATTCTTTAGATACTTTACCATAAGACATTGGGAAGCTTGGCCCACAGATCTCAGCTGGGAGCACATCCTTGGCTTGCATGTTATCCATGGACTATAATTTAGTCCTTAATCACAATACAGTTGTTTGGGCTCAAAGCCTATAAGTTTTTTATTCTTCAGATGTGTGGAGAATACGGTAATGCTTGATTTTTGTTCTACAAGTGAGGATGTGCAGCATTAAATGATGTGAAGAAATGACAAGACTGTGGCAGAAGTTCAGCAAATACCAAATTGCATTAGAGTGCACTAGTTATCCTGTCACCTCCCTCCTTGAAATAGATGTGCAGACTTCTTAATTTATGAAAGAAAGCATTGATGTTGCTTTTTGGATAATTCACCATCACGTGAATCTGAAGGGATCATCTCTCTTGTGTGAATGTTAAAATAATTTCTGTGGAGAGTTTTGTAACCAACCTCACCTCCCTGAAATGTGAGGTGAAGAAGCAGTGAAGGACAGTTATTTACATTAATTGTCTATTTAATTTTTATGTCTGAATCTGAGGGTAAAAGTTGTCTTTAAGTGTTCAAGAGAAGGAGTTAAACTCCAGCAGCCCTGTAGCTGGCAAAATGTTCTTTGCCAGGACACAGATGATTTTGGCTAACTTTCAAAAAAGTGCATTTGCTCCACGTGATGCTTTTTGCGGGGAGGGGAAGTTGATTCAGTCAGCAGGTTGTTTACATAGTTCCTGTGTATTTTAATTGGTGTCTCAGCAGCGAGCAGCTCCTTCTGCCCTACTGTGAGAACAGTGGAATTTAAAAAGGGGTTAGCAGATGCTCTCAGTAGGACAACTGCTCTCTCATGTCGCAGCCTTGCATTGAAGGGACGTTGTCTTTTCTGCTCACAGTCCCCTGCAGAGCAAAAAGCTTTGTCGGATTCAGGCGAGGACCCCCAGGGAGAGGTTGAGCCCCTCCACCATGGTCTGGGTCATACAGAACCAGCTGGTGAGCGCGACTCTGAGCACCCTGCTCCCACTGTGGCCTCAGTCAGTGCTACCCTGAGTCCCGCTGCTGCAGCCCAGCTTGCTCCTATTCATCAAGAACTGGCAGGGGTAAGTGTCAACCTACCAAGTACTTCTGCTGCTGAGGGGATTAGAGGAAAAAGTCCCTTCCACAAAGTGGAATCCGTTACTGTTCATTGTAGGCAGTGCAGACTGTCTGTCTGGTTCTTTGATCTCAAGTGTTAGTCCTCTCTAAGTCCTTGTTCCAATTAGCAGAAATTAGATTTGTTTGGGTCTCACTAGTAGTGTAACTCTAGAAGATGCCTCAAGTATTTTAAAATTTAGGGTGTAAGCTGTGTTTGCTAAGGATGAGAGCACTTCTAAATGAGTGAGAAAGTGCATCTATATTTGTGGGATTTGCTTTAAGCAGTTAGAGGAGAGCTCTTTGTTCCATCTGAGCCATAATGCTGCTGCTTGACAAAGTGAGCAGTTAATACTGTGTTTCCACTGGATATAAAAGGAGCTTGTCATGACAACCTGTAAGGTACTTAATAGATTAAAAGCACCAAGAATCATACTAAAGCAGAATTTTGAATTTAAGTATTTGATGGGGGAGGAAGTCAGTACCTTGCGGTTGGAAAAGCTGTCAGAGCTCGTAATTTAAGATTTTTCTACTAGTGGTGCAGCAAAATATTTTCTGAAAGATTAGATGACTAAATGACTGCTGCTATAGAGTTTTTCAAAGCAATTTTAAGTGTTCCTAAACTTTCTGGTTGGTGGGCCATATTTTCTTGGTGCAGGCGAGTATCACTATTCACTGTGACACCACATCCTAGGCACGTGCTCTTTGCTAGATCTTTGCCTGTTAAGGCTGCTCCACCCAATACCTGCACCCTTTTCTTGGCTAGTTGGTTTGGTTGGTTTTTTTTTAATCCAAAAATGGGCCATTTCCAGTAAACCCAGTGCTGAATGGATTGTCATGACAAGGTGCAAATAGCTGTAGGTGAAGCACATTTCCATGTTCAGACTGTTGCTTGACGACCTGCTGCAGAAATCTTTCCATTTCAGATTCTTTTTTGAAGATGAAATTTTTCAAGGACTAAAATATAGCTGGTCACCATAGTCAGACTTTTATCTCAGTTTTCTGTCATTTGAGATTACAGTGTTACTAGAGCTGTCCAAGAGAACTGCATTAACCAGACTTTCAGGAAAACTGCAGCAAGTGGTTATCTTAGCCTTGTTCTTAGAGAGCAGAAAATCTTCCTCCAGTTAACCCAGCTTTGAAAGAAATTTAAAAACCAAAACTGCTGTTGGGGATCATATGCAGGAATTCATGGCAGTACAGAACAGTTGTCTCAGCATCCTTGAATTTGACTCCATTCAGTTAGATTTATGGAATTGTACAGTGCTCAGAAGGGGCATGTAACTGGCCTTCACATGCACTGGCAAGCACTCTTCCAATTATCCCAATCTCTTAGAGTGAAACCATCTCTTGTCTTGAAATACAGAGAAGGGTGACACATCTTCAGTGTGCTTGTACTGATTTGCTGGAGCAGAAGTTTTCGTGCAGTCTTCTTAGGGCCTTGGGAAGATGGGAGAATTAAGACTGAATAAGAGACACTGCATATTTCTTGTTTACTTGGTATTGTTTGTACACTCAGACAGATATTTTTGCTAAGACTTGAACACGGTGTGGCTAGAGATACAGTCTCTCACAGAGCTGATGGTCATATATAAGTGTACTCTTACAGCTTTCCCTGAATTACATTGGCCTTTTTTTTTACTTAACTGAAATTCTCCCTTCTTGACCCTGTTTCTGTTCATTTATTGTGAATAAGCAAAACCAAATGAATTTCTTGAAGTTTTTAAGTTCTTCTCTCTTAGTTTGATGTAGCAACTGTGTGAGGAAGTAATACTTGTAGTCTAGTTAATTATGGTCACTGGCACTTTTAAAAAGCAGTTGGTAGCATTTATAAAGGTAATTTCCTTAATTAGAAGTGTGTCAGAATTGTAGGAAGCTCTATTTAGAAATAATTGTAACTTTCCTGTAGCTGGATTTCTAAAAGCAGGGGGAGGAGAGAGTAAGTGAAAGGCGGCTTCTGCTCTTAAATGAGAAAATTGTAGGTTGGATTTTGATGTTACTGGTTTAAGTGTCTCTTCAGCATCTAATTTCAAAGCACTGAATGGAGAGAAGTTGAGTCACCTTGGTGGTTCCTTGCAAGATGAGATGGTCCTGCCTTTTGTTTCCGTTGTGTAGCGTACTTGTGTAAAGCAGGTATTGCTGTAACACAGACTGAGTAGGCTGGGAAGAGAGGCCTAAAATGAAGAGGCTGGACTGCTGTTCATTGTCATTAACTGTAATTTGCTGGTTTTCCAGTCTGTCAGGTTTGTCATGCATATATTCCCCTGATATATTCCCCTGATTTTTGTCTAGTCTGCCCAGCTTCCTCTGAAGCAGCACTGATAAGCAATTCTGACTGCAGTGGTAACTTACTTTATTGTGTGGCTTCATACAAAAGTGAAGCTTATACAGTACACGTGTGTACCCACTCCCATGGTATCTGCCTGTTTGTCCAAAGGTGCACAGCTTTAATCTCCCAAAACTCTTGGACTAGGAAGCATGGAAATAACTTGGAGCAGATACTCTGCTGTGCTTTGCCCTCAGTAGGGTACAGAGTTGGTTTTGGATTTTGATGCCCCCTGCCCACTGAACATGGTGGTGGTGCATTAGTTGTGCTTGTGTCAGTTAGTGAAATCACAATGATGTGATGATCTGAGGCTTGTGCTATACAGGTTTGGCTTTTTTTTGTCTGTTATTTGAGTATTGAGAGGACAACACATCTTAGTAACAGCTTAAGAAGTTTCTGGTGTTCCAGGGGAAACCACTGATTTATTTTTAAGGACTTTTGCATATTAAGATCTGCAGTTCCGTTCATGCAAATTTTTTACCAAACATTTTCCTTTTGCTCTCAGGATTTTTGATAAAAGTTGAAACAAGTTGCTGGTATCTGTGACAACACTTTCTGTGCAAAATAGATTTTTTTTTTCTGAGTTTGGACGCTGGTTGCTGAAATATGTATAACATGATTTTCCACTTAAGCCTTATCTTTTGCAGAACTAATGTATGTTGGCAAGGGCAATGACTAATAAGACTGTCCTCTGGTACTGTAGACTACTTCACTGATTATGTAGGAAGAGCCATAGATGATCCAAATGCAGTATTAACACTGATAGGTGTGTGTGAATGGAGGGGATTGTGTTCCAGAAGTGTCTGTAGCTTCTCGTTCTCTATGCTAAAGGTTTCAAAAGTATCAACTAGGATGCTAGTGAGGTAGCTATACTCTTAATGTAAAACTAAACAGAAAAGCTCTTCATTGCATAGGCACAGTACAGGGTTTTTATTAACATTTAGTGAAATACTGACAGTACAGTACTACGTGGGTTCTAAATATATGCAGTGCTAAATAGAAAGTTTCGTGTTTTCTGGTATTCTTATGCACAAGGTATTCCTCAGAGGTCAGTCCTGTGCAGACTTACCCAGTGCTGTCGTGTGTCTGCCTGCTCTCAGTGTCCAAGGGGCCGAGTCATGGGGTGGGAGGACCTTTGGGAGGGTTCTGCCTGCAAGCTGCAAGCTCTGAAGTGAGACTGTGTGAAGAGGAGGTGTCTGTCTGCATGTCCTGGGGCAGGGTTGGGATGAAAGTTGGACTAGGGAGAAGGTCCAGTATGTCAAGAGCTTACGGAAAGGAAGGTGTAGCCAGGCAGGTGTTGGTCTGTTCTTCCAGGTAACAAGTGACAGAACCAGAAGAAACGACCTCGAGTTGAAGGTTTGGATTGGATATTAGGAAATGCCCGTTCCCCAAAAAAGGTTGTGCATCCCTGGAACAGGCTGCCCATGGCAGTAGTGGAGTCATCATCCCTGCAGGGATTTGTGTGAATGTGGCACATGGGGACATGGTTCAGTGCCGAGGAGATTATTGGACTCGGTGATCTTGGAAGGTGTTTGCTAACCTAAACATTCCTGTGATTCTAAAATGTTTTGTAATGAGATAAATGTGGTAGTGCTGCCCTAGTCACCTTCCACAGTGGAAGGAATGCATCATGGGATTACATTTTGCAGGAGTAAAGGAGACTGTATTAGCTGTGGAAGTAGGAGGAAAGAGACTTAGAAATCCTCAGAAAAGATGTAAAACCTTTGTTCAAACATCACATTTTTGAATGTTTTGATAGTTGGCAGCCTGTGGTGCTTTCTTTTTTGTTCCTGGTACTGTGGAAGATGTTAGGAGACTATCCATTGCTAATTCCAATGAAAACACTATTGTACTGCTTTATAGAGTGTGCTTTCAAAGACATTCCTCCAGTGCTGTCACTTTTCTGAAGGAACTAATGTCACTTAGAGTAACTAGAGAAAGTGCTTTGAAATGAACTTCCAAATAATAGGTATGTTTATGTTGAACTTGAAACTTCTGGGATATTTTTAAAATCAAACCAAATTTGAAAACTGTCATTTTCAGATTTTCACTGTACAGAAAATGTAACTGTAATAATTGTTATATAGTCCCTAAGGATATTAGTGCTTGGATATGAATCTTCAGGAATCTTATTTGTAAATGAAATATTTTGAATTAATTGTATTTAATAGTATCTGAGTGAAACTCAATATACCTACATGTAAATCATAGAAATAATGCTTTGCCTCGAGTGTATGTCATTGACAGTAAAGCAAAAATCTCCAAACTGATTATTAACTCATTTGGATCAATCCAAAGAGACTGAAATGTTCAGTATGTGACTTTTGTTTCATCACTGTAATCTGATTTCAGAGATCAGCAGATGGATCAAGTCCAGAAGATGGAGATGGTAAGAGATTTTACTGTAAGATTAAAAGCCATGAGCGTGTGTCTTGTTGGAATATTGTGCATTTTCTCTAACTGCTTTTTTCCTACAGAGTCTGATCGAGAGGATGGAAGTTACTGTCCACCTGTAAAACGTGAGAGAACTTCATCCTTAACTCAGTTCCCTCCTCAGTCAGGTAAATGTTGCTGTGATATTATATACAAGGAGTGGGTTTCCTTCTTAGACCTTTTCTTTTTCCAGTCATGTTAGCAGTCTTAGTACTGTCTGCTGTGCTTTGTCTTAAGACCACAGCAACCATGTACTCTTTATTTTTATGTGGTCCACATTAGCAAATTTGGTGAAGCCCAAAGAAATTGAGAAATAGTTTTAAAAAATATTTTTTATATTTGTCTTTTCAGCTTTTCATCTTGTGCTGTTAAATTGAAGAATTAACCAGAAATCTTTTTGATTTGTTGTGATCAGGTTGCTCCTTAACAAATTTGAATTTCTTAGTTACTCCGCTGCCAGGAAATCTTCCAAATCTTAGCTTGTGCTTGTTCTGGTGCTTTTCTCTTTTCTCCCACCCTTTTTAAAATGGAGAGGATTTAGTGCATCCCTGAAACACAAGAGAGAATGACCAGAGCCCATGTGTGTGTGCGCAGTCAGGGCAGTGAAATCACTGGGGTAAATTTGTGCAGTTCACATGCACAGGAATGGTCATGTTTCGTATTTGTTCACCCACAGGAACAATCTCTTAAGATTTGTGTCTTCTCCACAGATAATATGAAGGTTTTAGCTTTGGTTGAGGATTATTTTAGTTAAGACATGTCAGTGTTTGAGGCAGATTTGGAGACTTTGCTGCTTTATTTCCGCTATCTTAGTTGAAATAAAGGAGATGAGAAAAACATCAAAAGGAGAGAACAGTAAAAAAATATTCCTCTTGCATGCAGCACATTTGGGAGATGTGACTAAAAGGCAAAAGCCTAGTTATTTTGCTTTTAGTTTTAAAGAATTGAGTGACTATGGAATTTAAAATCTAGTTGCTGATATTTTATGGGCACGGTGTTCTCATATCTTGACTGGATATTGGCATTTATTCCCTGATTCACTTATTCTCCTCTGATGTGTGTTGTCAAGAAGTGACAACTTGGATTGGAATTGCAACTTCCATAAAGGCCTCTTTGAATATTGTTGACATTGTTTGATGGCTTTGATTTCCAGAAAATCTTTCGCTTTCCCAACTTCATAATTTTTTTTGTGGGGTTATGTTTCTCTCCAGAGTAGGGAAGTTTTACTTATATGAAACATGTGTCATGTTTAAGGCAGACAATAATAAAAAGAGAGAAGAGGCAATTAAAGAAAGAAGCAAATATGAAAAAAAATTGGCTTTTAATTATAAAGGGCAAATACTGCAGCTTTTAGTACAACAGTGTTCAGAGATGAGATTCCTTTCTCTTTTCAAAACACTTTAGCTTCTTCCACAGGACAATGACTTGTTGACTGCTTTGGCTAGAATACTGTTTTATTTTGTAAGAAATAAAAAAAAAAAAAAGAACAAATTACTAGAAAAATTATTTTCCATTTGAAGCCTTGATACATCTGAGAACAGGTTTATAATTAAAAACAACATACACAACTTCCCTTAATTTTTTTCCTTTTCCTTGACTGCAGTAGCGAAGAACAATGTCTTTATGCCATCAAGCTTCTGTGAACCCTCTACAGGCAATTCTGACTCAGAACCAGGTGAGCTTCCTCATTTTTCTGCTTTTTTCTCAAACCGTTGTCAATTTGTCACAATCCAAAGCACTCTGAAACTTCAGAAGTAAGACCCTATCTGTGAGATTGGAAGTGACGATGGTTCTGATTTTGGAGCTGGTGTCTTGCTCACTTCATTGTTTGACTTCATCCTTGCTGGAGGTAATTAGAATAACAAATAGGAGCATTGTTGCATGCTTTGTGAGTGATGATAGAAGACTGCAATGTGACTTTCAGGAAATCTTCATTTATTGACTTTGGGATATTGTTCTTCTGTATTAGAAGGCAAAACAACCATGATCTAGATCATAATGATGTTCAGCCATGACCTGTGAGCCCTGTGTTGACAGAGCTGCTGATTTTGTCAGTCCCTGTTCTGGTTCAGTGGTGTTGGTGTTGCTGTGGTGCACGTCAGTGTCTTGGGATTAACTGGCATGAGAATAACCAAGTACAGTGGGATTGTAAGATGCGGGGTTGCCTTATTCTGAGCACAGACATTATGCCCCTAAAAAGAAAAAAGTATAATTATTCTTTGTAAGTTCTTAAGAACTCAATTTTTAATAGCTATGGATTTATGAATATTTTGAGATTTTGGTGTTTTATCTAAAAGCCCTAACTGTGGTGAGTGCAAGCAAAGGAATTTCTTTTACCCTCATACTGTAAAAGCACACAATAAAAGCTAATGGAATTAAAAGAAACTAATGTTAAGCAATGAAGTTTAACTTACAATAACTAGCAGTTGGGTGCTTGTTAGCACCTGTCATGTTCAGTCATACTTCTGATTGTCCTTTCTTTAGTTTGATTCTCACCTAAAACCTCTATCTCTATTAAGTCCTTCACAGGAGGAGCTCCATTTCTCTTGTGAACACTTTTTTTTTCCTGTTCTCCTGAAAAAAAAGCCTGAATTTTTTGCTTGCAACAACTTGTTTGTCTGTAATGTGTGTTTGATGTGATGATCACTGGAAATTCAGATTTCTTTTTGGAAATCTCCTAATGACTTCGGATATGTATAGAACTTGTGGGTTGTTACTTGTGGGAGAACGTGAGGAATATTATGACTGTGTAGGATGTTTGTAGTATGTTACAGCTTTGTCCTTGAAATTTTTTGTTTTGCTTGCAGAGGAGAAGAGCAGTGGATTCCGGCTGAAGCCACCAATACTTATCCATGGTCAGGCACCCAGTGCAGGTGAGTTCACTGTTTTCTGCAAGAGCACAAAGAAAACAATTCAGGCATTTTATTTAGTAGTTTCTTCAACCTACTATTGTAAGGTAGGATTGTGGTGCCTGTTCTGCACCACAGGTTAGCCATGACTGAGTCTCCTGTTTACTGAGGTAGAGCCAGCCACTATGGGAAAGGCATAAATATTACAGCTCCTTAGGAGTTTGAGGGGAAAAAAAACCCCAAAACTATTTAGATAATGGAAGTTATTATTACATATGGATATGAAAACTTTATTTCACTTGCAGGAAGAATGATAAATTTAAGAAAGGAACAAGCTTTTTTGAGCTGACCTGTGAACGTTTGAACTTAGGATAGTTGTTATATTTTGTTGTTGTCATGTCCTCTGAATATGGGTGGCCTGAAATGGAGCTATGAGTGAATTCTCTTGCAGTATTATGTTGGATCAAGAGTGTTCAGTGAAGAAAACTGAACCTTCTGGGATTGCCATAACCTTCTAGAGCTGATGTTATGATGTTTGGGATATTTTTATTAGGTTGCTTAAGGTCAGTTGGCTTTTTGAATCATAGCAGAATTAGAGTTGTAGTGCTGTGTATCTTGCTATAGCAAACCAAAGAGGCCAGGTTTAATCAAAAAGCCAAAAAATTGTTAAACAACACAGCTCAACTATTACACTACCAATACATTTGATTGTATGAAGAAAAAAAAAAATCTTTTACCAGCATCTGGAAATTACTTCACTGGTATGAGAAAAGAAGAGTTGGAATGTGTAGTTGAATAAAATGTCAGTGCATAAATAGGATTACTGGTGTACTGTTCATTTCTCCTACACTTTGGCTTTTATTTCTGAGTCAGCAGTAAACTCTCCTTCTGTGCTTTCCTGGGTAGAGAATATATTTTAAAATGTCTTTTAAGGCTATGAAGTAGTCTTCTCTATTTGGGACTAATTCTATTTTGAGACTGAGTGAGGGATGGAAAAAAAGGGGAGTGAACTCTTTTCTGATGTCTGTTTTTTCATTGTACGTTCTGTTGGAAGCAGTTACAGAGAAGATTAGATGAAGTTGAACTTTTCAACTTTAAAGCTTTATAGCTCTTGAAAAAAAACTTTGCCCTTGCAGGTCTCCCCAGCCAGAAACCGAAGGAACAGCAGCGCAGTGTGCTCCGTCCAGCAGTGTTACAGGCACCAAAAGCTTTCTCACAAATGGGTAAGTAGTGCTTTTGCTTTCTAGAACACAGTGAGAACAGAAGTCTTCAGTCTGTTTAATGTGTGGTTTGGTTTTACTCAACATCCACCTAGTTTTTCTAAGTTTCTCCTTTCAGAAGAGAAACATCTTAAATGTCAAGTGTGTCTGTGTTACAGAAGGGATAACACAGTGGAACTTTCAGGTCTTGTGGAACACAACTGTCTGCCGTTGCCAGGCCTCTGACTTTGGTGTAGTCCATGCTTGAGTTTTGGAATAAAAAGCCTTCTAAGTGTGTGCACTGGCAATCTCAAATGACAGACAGCATTGACCATGGTGTAATAAGCTATCACCAATAATTGATTAGCAGTAAAGTGCCTAAATTGCTGAGAGGTGCCTCTGGGCTTGTGGACCATTTTGGAGTTGTGACTTTGAGATAGAATTTTAATTCTTAAGTTTAGTCCTTCATATAATGTTATATTGTTGTGGAATCTGATATAGCTGATGGAAATAGGCATGATTAAAGACTGTAAGTTAAAACAGAAAAACTGTTTGAAGTGTCCATGTCTCCTAAATTCCATGTTTCCCCAGCCCGATGCCTTTTGTTATGTGGAATTTTGGTTGAACAGAAAAAGTGAGTAACTTCAGTTAATCGTGAATCTGACATAGAAGCAAACATTTCTAGCTTGATTTCTTGACATGTCTGCTGGCACAAATTGGACTCTACAGAAAACTTAATATTGGAGTACAGATTTTCAGTGTGAGTTCAGTATGTGAGCAGGTGAATCAACCTGAAGATGAGCCTTCTTTGGAACAGTATTAGATTGGAGCAGGGTGATTGCTTGAAGTTGTATGTATTGAAGCCCTTGCAGCATTTGATTGATTAAATGACTTTTTTTTGCTGACTTGTTTTTCTGTGTTTGAAATTTTGATTTTGCTGAGAACTGCTGAATTGTGGTCCTTATGTCTTTTGCAAAATACTATGGGAGCTCTCTAGTTTGCATTGCAGTGTTTCATGGACTTAAAAGAGAAAACTGCATGCAATTTGCATTAGAAAACTTTTAGGGCAGTCTAAATATCTAGAGAATTTATGTGGTTTTCTCTTTCCTTGTTGCAGTTCTCAGCAGTGGCACTAATGGTGTAAATATCCCGCCAGATTCTGCAGCCACATCAGAATTACCAAGTGATGCAACACTGAAAAGTTCTGACTCTGAAGATAAGGTGAGTTGGAGAAGGAGACTCAAAGTAACAGACTTAAATATTCTCTGAACAGAGTAAAAAACCAGCATCACTAAATGAATTCCCTACAAGAAATGGAGAGTGCAGGTAATGAGAGGCTGAAAAGCCTCACCTAGAGCAAAAGATATTGAAGTGCATCAAAAGTTGTTTATTTACTATCTTGAAAGAAAAGTAATGAAATATTTCCTTCCCGTTCTGTGCAGTGAATCCAGTCCTTCCCTTCCCTGTGGGTTTTGAGCTAACCATTGGCATCTGAAGATCCTGACTGATAGCATGGGGAGGATGTTTGGGGATTTTGAGCGTGGGTTTTTTGATGCCACATTGATCACAGAAGTAGCATTGGTTAGTGCAAGAGTATGGAACAGTTTACTTGAAATTCAAGTCTCAATCCTGAATATCCAAGCAGAAACACTTGCAATGTGATTGACTTTTTAAGGTTTAGTGAAAGACTACTGCCATAACTGAGGAATGATAAGTAAATTCCATGCATGGACCAGTATGAAAACTTTGTGGGATGTGCTTGTTACTGCTGTGTACATCACGAGGGAGAGCCTCTTTGTGCTTTTAACATCCAAAAGTCCTCTTAACTTTTTTAACCAGCTGAGAGAAAGTTTTCTGATAGAAGAAAGCTCTTAAATCTGGATGCTAAAGATTTCTGAAGGCTCGATATTAAATGGGATAAAACTTCATAAGTGAATTGCAGTTTTACCAGGGAATGTGGTGGGATATTCTTCATATTCTTGGCATTTGTAGTCAGCTTTGTCTGCTGAAGCTTTCTAGCACAGGTAGAAGTTACTTGAGTTCATGCAGTAGTTGTGTTAAATGCTGGAGTCTCTCCAGAATATTTGTTAAGAAAAACACTAAACAACAACAGCTACGTTATTTTAAATGCAAAACTTGCCTTGTAGCTCTTGAGGTGTTATTGGCTTATCATTGTAAATGAGTGTGTGACTCACTATGTCATAACATGTTTTTATTTAAAGAAGCCCAATTACCTAGGCTGCATTTTTCCATTTCTTTAGGCAGGAGAATGTCAGAAAAAGGAGTCCAACAATACTTCAGATAACAGCTGTGAGAAGGCTGAACTAAATGCACAGCAAGCGTTTGTATTTGGGCAAAACTTAAGAGACAGAGTTAAGGTAAACACGTTTGTTCTCTTGACTAAGTTTGTGAAGTACTTTGAAGCTCCAGAGTTAAAACCTCCATGTATATATGTAAAATTAAAAGTTGTGAACATAGGTTGACTATTTAATAAAACTAGTCTTAGACATTTAATAAATGAATAAATTCTGTTAAGTAGCATAAGAAACTTTTTCAAAAATAAATGCATCTACTGCAATCATAAGTAACATCTAAAACTCAGTGCAATGTAGTGTTTTCTCTTACCTTTTGAGTCAGAACTAAGTTGAAATGCAATCCTAAAATGCTCCCACGCAACCAAGACTTCACAGAAAAGGTGAAAAAAGAAAAACAGGGCTGCCTGGGCTCAAACCTGTGCGTGGAATAACTGAGTTGGATTGTCAGTACCTCCTGTTGAAGACGGATTTGCACAGGTTTTGTAGCATAATAAAAGGAAGTGTAATATTGGGGCATAGATTTGTGTTGTTTTATTGTAGAAAGCATTTTTGGATGGAACTTCGTCCTTAAAATGAATGAGTTGAAAAATTTGTGGTCAGTAATTAAAACTGCCAATGTCTGCTTGTTCTTTTCCCAGCTGGGAGATGAGAGCGATGAAAGTGCTGACGTGCAGAACGCTGGCCTTCCTACAGCAGATGCACCTTCTGCAACCAACTATTTCCTACAGTACATCAGTTCCAGGTGAGACTACAGGAAAACCTGTAGGACAGTTCTTACTCTTGATTGAAAATTCTTTGTGGTTCTGCTCTTTATTGGGTGCAAGGTTCAGACTGGGTCAGTGGGAACCCAGGCTGCTGAAGAATGCGATGACAGTCTTCAGATCTGGGGAAATCCTCAATCTTATCTGGTCAAGGGAGATGCTTTTGATACCATTGACATGACCACATCCTCACCAAAGCCTCTTCAGAAAAGTAACAAGCATAAGATGAGAGCACCAGTATGTGCTGTCATGTTACTAAGTTGAATTAATTTTTAACCTATGTTTGTATCAACCAGTGCTTAATTTTTTTAAAGCTAGTGACAATCGCTCACTTTGTGAGGAATTTTGTTAGCAGAAGATAAGAGATAACTTTCTGTCTTATAAAACTGGTTTTGTTTGTTTGCATTTTTTTCAGTGTAGAGAACTCTACAAACAGTGCAGATGCATCTAGCAACAAGTTTGTTTTCGGACAGAACATGAGTGAGCGAGTCCTAGTGAGTATCCACTGTGTATGATACGTTGTAATTTTGCAAGTAGTTTGTTATGGATTCTCACCGAGGAATTTTGAGAGCCTTTAATTGTACTTGTCATTTGAGGATGGTTTTTTTCAGTGGTTTCCCTTGTGGGTAACTTTGAGTGCAGCATGGGGAGTTCATTATGAGCTATTGTCTGCCCCTCAGTGCTCTCCAAGGACTTCCCTGCCAAGCTCTCTGTGTGAGGAGATTCAGTGCCCTCTGTCATGCACATGGCTCTTGTGCCCAAGCACTTTATGGCACAGCTTGTTGCTTTAAATGGCTGTCCCAGAATAAGTATGGGAGGGTGTTTCATGTTTGTCCTCAAAATTGAGAGCAGGTCAGTTCCTGGACTCCCTTCAGGATGGGATTTGAAGTTAAGCAGTAAGGCAGCTGCCTCAGGACTGAGGTATGATTCAGAAAGTTCTGTTTGTTATGTACCAGCCTAAAGAATAATTTCTAGCACCTCACTATTTCTTGTTGTTTTTATTGCTGTACTGGAATAAAATGGAAGCATTTAATGCTGAGCATTCATACCTGTCTGTGTAGCAGGGAGCTCAGTCAGCTATGCCATGAGCTGAACTGTAGCTGAAATTGGCTTACTTTGTTAAGCATAGTTTCAAAATAAATGTTGAAATTTGGTTTCAGTTCAAGGGAAAAATAATTTGAACTGGTTTTCAGGTCACGCTCCTTTCAATTCCATGGCTGGGGTAGCAGGATGGCTTCTATTGTGAAAGCTTTTGTCTGTGAGATTCTTCTTTTGCATATGGTTTATAAACAGTGGGGCTTCCCTCAGTAATTGATCACTAGTCCTGTTCAGCAAAATAAGTGTGTGTTTTCTCTCTTTTGTTTACCTCCTTTTTGTGTAGAGTCCACCAAAATCAAATGAAGGTAGTACAGAGAGTAATAAGGAGAATGCTGCTACAGAGTCTGGGTCTGAATCGTCTTCTCAGGAGGCCACGCCAGAGAAAGGTGAAAAACAAAATATAACTTTAGGAATGGTAGTTAATCCGTGTTTAAGTTATTGTATTTTTCAATACCTTGTTACTTTTCAAAAATGTAACATTTTTATGTTGCCTTTACTGTCTCCTGTAACCAAAGATACAGGCTGGGTGTAGGAGGTGCTGGATGCTATAGATTCTCTTATATCCAGCATGTACTGTCTTTTTCATAGTCTTTTGGTGGTATTGGGAGTATCTTTAGCAGAGTGAAAGTAGAGGGAATTAACAGAACTGGTACTGGGACCAGAGTGTAGAAGAAATGGAGCAAACCTTTTTTTTTTTTTTTTAACAATTCTGTTGTATTTCCAGTAACTGAATGTCTGAGTCAAATGTGTATTGCATTGAGCAGGTGCACCATACATTGCTTGAACTCAAAACTCTTTGCTGGATTCTAGACTTATGTGGCTCAAATCAACAAGATCTTATGGAAATTCTGGGAACTATGGGTTTTCTTCAGCAAACTGCTTGCAAGCCCAAATAAAAGTGGAAAATGAGTTGTGCTGTCCATGTGTAGGTACATGGCTGGCAGCAGTGTCAGCACTGCTGGAGCACATACAGATATGCAGTTGTCCATGCAAAGGTTTTGAAATACTGTGTGTAGGAGCAGAAATTTTGATTACTTAGCTCTTCAGTCCCTTGTGTCCTGTTCTTGTAAAACAAGTATTAAAAGACAAGCTTTGATTTCTGCTTAAAATTTCAGTCCTTTTTCACATGTTCTAGTAAGGCCTGTCTTCTGTACTTTTCAAAACTTCTCAAAGTTCTGGTGTACTTGTGTGAGACCTTTATAAATCTTATAAAATTATGTGCTAATCATTCTCAGACTCTCAAAATGTTGTTCAGCTAATAATATTTCAGAATCACTGGCAGAGTCTGCAGCAGCCTATACTAAAGCAACAGCCAGGAAGTGTTTATTAGCGAAGGTAGAAGTGATTACTGGGGAGGAAGCTGAAAGTAACGTCTTACAGGTAAGAAACAGAGTGTAGAGGAGCTTTGGGGTTGTGGGGATTCATATGGATGTCCAGTGAATTCACACCATCTGATTCCCTACAACTCAGCCTTCCTCTGTATATTTAATGTGCTTTCTTGTGTTAAAATGCAAACTTTAGATATTTATTATCAGATCCTTACTTATTATCTTGTAATCTGTTGTTTCTTAATTTCCTCTTTCTGAATAAATTTTAGTGTACAAGCCATCCAGGTGGCTTTTCCTGGTGATTTTCCTGAATCAATCACACAAAAGCTTCTATCTCCTACAACTATTTGAAGAAAATTTAAGTGAACTAAATATTTTAAAGTTCTTTTTAGTTGTTGTACTACTGAAGATTTTTTTAAAACTTGGAATCAACTATTTATGGCAGCAGTCTGGTTTCTTGCAAAGCAGAAACCATACCACAGCATTTGGAACTTGTCTTGAGGTATTTAATTGAATTAGTGATGTTTTGGAAGGATATTTGGTCATGACTTAGGACTCCTGTTTTTAATTGTGATTTATTTAGCATTGTAGTTATTCATTAACTTAAATGTACTTATTAACTCTATTATATCCTTAAGAAGAACATACAGGATTTTCATGTAAAATGAAGTGGTATATGAATTTTTTTTTTCTTCTCTCTTTATCCTCCAATTATAGTTGTGTTTTTTTTCTTGAGATATTTTAAGTTTCTCAGCATTTTGAACTGTGTTCTTTTTTAAGGACAGGTTTTTGTTCTTAGACATGCTGCCTGTTCTGACACCAAACAGTTGCACTGTGTCAGTAACTAATGTGTATCAGTTACACTTGTATTATCTTGCAAAAAACAATAATCTATAATGTTAGTCTTCTTTGACTTCTTTTTACCAGACATGAATTCTCTTTAAATAGTTCTGCTGGTACTTCTGTTTCTGTGTAATTTGGAAATGTCTGGATGCTTCACATAATTGAACAAGACACTGAAGAGATGAGGCTCCTGTTTCACTTAGGAAAACCACAGCTTTTAGCAGCTGTACACTTAATAGAGGACTGAGTTGCATGAATGTTGTAACTTAACAGACCTCTTGCCAAACTTTTCTTTTTTTCCTATAAAATGTAGTGCACTAGAATTCCAAATGGGACTTGTACGTACAGAACTATGTTAATGTTGCAGAAACAGAGTATACAGAGCTAGATGTCCTGGGGTGGAGAAAATAAGAAATGGAGGGAATGAAAATGGGAATATCTTCTCCACCTAGTGCATGCACATCTGTGGGGAACTTGAGGGGTGACAGTTTGAGCTATGAAATCTCAGCAGTGACAGTGAAGATGGGTTAGAGGTGGGGATACAGAGCACACATGTTTGGCAGGGAACAAAAGTGGAGCTTGTATGGAAGAAGGAGCAATCCTACCATTTGAAAAAATTTGAATTTTCTAACTAATGAACCCTGCAGGGAGGTAGTAGAAATACCTCAATTATTCATGGCTTTGTGTGGGTCAGGCTTTATGACTTGATCATGAGCTAACATGTTTCTTCATCCTTTTTTTCCTGAATACAGGAAAAATTTTGCTTTGCTTTCATTGTGCTGGGTCTTTCCAGCAACAAATACCACTTTCAGTGGTGCAGTGTGTACCTAAGGCTTTTAAAAGAATTGACTGATTGAAGGCAGTCTGTTATCACATTAAATTTCCTCTGTGAAAATTGTTCTTGTTGTTTTGATCTTGAACCCAGATATTCTTTAAGAATATATAGCTTCTGTTAATAAAATCTAATGAAACCAGATAGTATATATTGAGGAACTTATTGCAAAAGAGGGGGTGACTGCTTTGGTTTCCACAGCTATGAACAATTAAAAATTTCAATATGAAATCTGAATACTTTTTAACCAATTGCAGATGACTAAGAAATACATTATTACTTCAATCAACCACTATGCTACAGAGATATTTTCTGTTACAGATTCAGTGCAAGCTGTTTGTATTTGATAAAAGCTCTCAGTCTTGGGTGGAAAGAGGTAGAGGACTCCTGAGACTCAATGATATGGCCTCGACAGATGATGGAACGTTACAGTCTCGACTGGGTAAGAGGAACCAGGGGAAATGAGATACTGGGTGACACTTTACACAATAAAAAGCTGTCTTGAGCTTCCTGATGTGTCTTTTTCCACCTAACTGATCTTGTAACTTTGCTTTAGTGATGAGGACTCAGGGGAGTCTCAGGTTAATCTTAAATACCAAGCTCTGGGCCCAGATGCAGATTGATAAAGCCAGTGAGAAGAGCATCCGGATCACTGCCATGGATACAGAGGACCAGGGAGTTAAAGTTTTTCTTATATCAGTGAGTACTGGTTTTTGTTTACATCTTAACCTTCCTACTGAAGTAGCTGCTTGCTTAAACTGTAGTTGAGGTAACATTCCCTTTTTTTTTTTTTTTGCACCCTACAATCTCTTAATATCACCCCTACCCCAAAGACAAGGGGCTTGGCAGATTTGCTTGTCCAAAAAGCCTTGCTAGTTGTGAAGAAAAGCCACATCCACAGCTGCTTTAGGAAACCAGGTTGTCCAAAGCATTGCCCATGGGGAGTCATGGGATCTGTTCCATCCCTACTGAGACTGTGACTATAGTGTTTAATGCAGATTGTTTTTTGCTATTAGGGAAAATGGGCGTTATTTCATAGATTTCTGTGCAATAGTTAATGAAATTAGATCTGCTGGAACTAGCAGTACAGAAGTGCTGTCACAGCGTGGGAGGATGGATAGGTGCTTACTGAAAGGGAAACACTAGAACTCTGTCAAGAACATTGTGTTGGTAGTTCAGGGTAACACATTTTAACTTCGATTTTCTTTAGATACAGAGTATTCAAAGCAGTAACAGGATAGTGAAAGGGATTGCTGTGCTTGCTAAATGGGGAACAGCAATGCCATTCAGAATTACTGAAACACTTGAGAGCTCATCATACAGTAAGCAAGGAAGAGGTTATTGCTTAGCCTTACACTTACAGATTTGGAGAGGTCTGAATATGTTCTTTTGATTTACACTGATGATACACAAGGAGTTGCAAAAGAATTACTATTCAGAGAGATCAGAAATTAAGAGAACAGCAACAAACAGTCAGCTTCCCCCAAGACATTAGGTTTGTAGGTCTGGGATCTGGAGTCCCAGAGTAGAACTTAATGATACCAAATATCCGTTGATGAAGAAGCAGTGAAATTACTGGATAAGTTTTTCTCAGTATTCTTCTGGATTTGAAAGCTTGAGTTTATCTGTCATCAGGTTATTTACTCTTGATTTTAGTATTGATAAAAAGTATCTTGCTTGGAATTATTTATTCATTACAGCTCATTGCAAGGGAATTTCACAGATACAAGGGTGACAGATGGGGAGGATAGAAACAATTTTTTTGAGAAAGAATCTAAGAAGTGGGATTGTTTCCTTACAGTTGACTTGGAGTAATGGTAATAGTAGTTAATATGAGGGCTTTACTGACATGGTGAAGACAAGAGTTTTGTGTATTTGAAGGAAGTTTCCCTTTTAAATAATGTCCATTAAATATTTAGTTTAACAGGCCTAATAATTGATTGTATTGAAGGCATAAAAGTGCCCATTAACCTCTGAGAGTAAGAAAAACATTCTTGGACAGGTTGCCACAAGTGCTTCCCTTTGAAACAGAGTATAAAAAAAAAAATAAAATCAGCCTGTCTGACTGTCTATTCAGTTTTCTCATTATATCTTGTGTTGAAAATTTATGTCAGTGCATCCTGAAACAATTAACTGACTTGATTATGATTAACTACTGTATGAAGTTGAATGCTTGACAGACCTGGAAAAGTCTGCAAGATTTTCATCCAAGATCTTTTTAATATAAGGTTTGGGGACTTGTTAGAAAAGCTGTGTGGTTTCTGGGTGAAGAAGGTTATATGAAATCAGCTGGTATGGGGTATGTTAGCCAGGGGAAGTTGGAGCTGATCAGGAGAATATACTCTCACCACCAGAGTTCAGTATGTCTGGTGTCCTGTTGTGTGTGTCACAGCCCACTCTGACTGGTTTGAAAAACCCTGTACGAGAAAACTGAAAACTGTGCTGTGAAATTTGGCTTGGCTGGAGTGTGTTACGTCGGCAGCGTTTTATTCTAATTCCTTTCACCTTCTTGTCTCTGAATATTACGAAATGCAGGCGAGCTCTAAAGACACAGGGCAGTTGTTTGCTGCTTTGCACCATCGCATCTTGGCCTTGCGGAGCAGGGTGGAACAGGAGCAGGAAGTTAAGAATGTAGCACCTGAGCCAGAGGTAACACAGTCAAACGAGGAAGACAGTGATGATGATGTCATTGCACCTTCAGGAGCAGTTGGAAGTGGTAAGTGAGAAAGACAAGTGTTTCCTGTTTTCCCTGCATTTTTCTGTGTCATTCCTTAAAGTGGACTGTGCTCTCTGTATGTGGTAGATGTACTTCTGGCCTGTTACCCCTCACAGGTGTCTGTGGAGTAGGACTATTGCATGAATTGGTTTTTTGAATGCAGCTGCTTCTTGCTTCTTCTCCAGACTGGTAAAAGACCCCTGTGCTGGGTCTCTCTTGAGTTATATGCCATGGTTTAGCTGAAGTTTTCTGAGCTTTGTTTCATTTCCAGGATTTCTAAGGGGTGGTTTTGAGTTTCATTTTTACCTTCCCCATGGCCAAGGGTTGCACATAAAACCTGAGGTGACTTGGGATCAGCAGGCAGGATCCAGACTGACCTTTGAGTAGAGAGCTGTTTGCAAAGCAGAAGGTTTACAAAGGGGCATGGAAAGAGTGTAATGATTTTTATTGTACATGAGGAGACCATACTTAAAGAAAAGCAGTAGTCTTCAGTTTGAGGAAGGCTTCCTTTTGTACTCTTGACTTGGAAGTCATCTGTGCTTTGCTTTCCTGTGCCTTAGAACATCCAGCCTCTGACAGAGACCAGTCCTCTATCCTGATTCACTGCAGGTAGAAAGGAGGAATGAATATGAACGAAAGCAGTGGGTGGATTGAAGAGGCTCTGGGATACTACTGGGATCCCCAAACCAGATTAGTGAAGAACATAAAATTCCACAGTGGACAGACCTTAGTCTGGAGAAGGAAATGTAAGGCAGAGGAATTCTGCAGCTCTCATTGTTATTGAACACCTAAACCTGAGATTTGTGTAGCCTGCTTGGGACGGGTCTCTTTTTGTAAGGCGAGAAACAAAAGATATTTCTTATGACCAAGAACTACTTTTATTGTTTCAGGTCCTAATGATGAAGGTGACGGGCAGAACGTTGGCAGCACATAGCAGATGTGAGCCAACCTGCTTGCAAGGCTGCTATGAACACCATCTTGCAGGCACCTCTGGGTACCCCAGGCCAGCGATTATTTCAGGCAGTGTCGAAGGCTCCAGGACTAAAGAACTGTGCATCCCTGTTCTGTTTGTTTGATTTTTTTGGTCTGGATCAGTAGATTCCACACAAAAAAAAAGCAGACTTGGAAAAACTACCTGAATGTGGTTTGGGACGTTGAAAGCTCATCATATTGATGAGCAAAAAAAAAAACAAAACAAAAAAAAAAACAAACACAAAAAAACCCAACCCCAGAACAAAACAAAAAAAATCCCCCAGCCAACCCCCAAACATTTCCCCTCTTCCTTGTAATTGAAATGGCACATTACAGCTTGTCACAGCTTTTCATTGGGACCTTTTGACTGTTTCTTCAGTAGTTCGTGTCTTGCAGGCGCCTCCGAGATAGAACTTTTTGATGCGGTTCCAACTCGAATTCTGCTTTTGCAACCTCTACTCCCCCTTATGCAGGGAAACCGTGTCCTCACCAATTCCTATGCTCACTGGCTGCCCTTTTGGGTTTCTTCTCTTTTTGGACTGCAGATGGGGCAGGTTATGTTTTTACCTTTCAATCCCAACAGAGGTTGTGGACACCATCGTTCCCTGTCTAGTGGGTTTGTAAACAGAGAGAAACAAAACATTGTGGTTCACCAGAAAAGCTTTTTTAATGCAGTAATAAGAGACTTTAAAGCCCGCAGGATGTTTTGCTAACTCCTTTCTTTCTTCCCATCTCATTATTATTATTTGGGGATTTATATTGTGGTGAAACTTTTTTATTTTAGTTTTTCAATAAGATGCTCTTGTGTGTTGAAAAAGTGAAACTATTGTTTTGTACTGTTCTGTTACTATTTAAGGGAGAGCTAAGCCACTATAAATAATAGATGTTGCATACAATTTTTCTTAGAAAATTATGTTTCTGTGGCTACAGTGAAGTGTAGGAGGCATACAGGTTACACCTTCAGAAAAGTTGATGAGGAAATAGCTGTTAGCCCTTGGAAGAATAAAATAAGCTCATGTAATGAGCTCCGCCAGCCATTAAAATAAATTGTATAATAAAGCAGCTCATTCAATGGCTTGATTCAACAAGCCATTTAAGCACTTGCCTGACTTAACTACATGTGAATAATCTTACTGAAGTCAATGCAACTCTTCATGCTTAAAGTTGAGGACATTTTTAAATATCTTGCTGAATTAATGGCCTTAAATAGAAAATATAACTTCTAACCCTTCCTGTCCCTGTTCTGTTTCCTTTTTCCCTGTTCAGTCTTGCAGCATGAAGAAAAAGGTAATACTGCCAGCCTTGAGTAGTTTGGGCTGAAGGTTATTGTATTCTGTTCCACCAAAATAAAAGCAAGAATGTGTTTTCCTGTGTGTAATTCTGAAGTACTCCTACTGTAACCATAACTCTTTTTTTGTTTTGTTTTTTAATCTTTTGAGCCTTTTGTGTGAAAGTTGAGTTTTATTTTGTTATTAAAACATAAACTATGTTCTTGTCCAGCAAAGTTGGAATTGGTAGTCACCAACGACAGTGACCAGGTCACTTTCACTATAAATTCCCCAAATTGTTCTACTTCCTTTATAAATAGTTTACTGGTAGATAATTTCTCACTTGTTCTTCTTGTTCTTCTGTAGGTTAAGGACATCTAAAATGCACCACTTAAATGCTTCTTCCCCTTTCATTTTCTTTTAATGTAGTACGAATTGAAAATGGAAACTCAGGTTATAGCACAAAATCAGCTTTGAAATTGAATATTCAAATAGCAGAACAGTCCTTATTGCTTCTGTTTTAATGAAACATACTTTTCACTGGCAGTCAAAAACAAGTTTTTCCCTTTTATTTGTTGTTAACCATTGTTGGAGACTGATGCTGTTGGGGCAGGGAGTGCTTTGCTTTTCCTGATAGGCAGTTGAAAGGAACATCTTGGATTACTTTTCTGGGAAGTGAAAAGGGCTAATGATAAGCTGTGCCACTGCATCTGTGATTTCTTTGGATTTGCCTGCTCATACCTTCTTGCACTTTGAGGGTTTTTTTCTCCTTAGAATTATGGGGGTTTTTAACAATGCACAGACCTGTTGCTGCACCCCATACTCATGCCATGCTCCTACAGGAGCACAGCACGTTCTTCAGCACCCACCTCACAACTGTTTCTGCATCACAAGGTCTGGGGGACTTCTGTACTTTCAAGTGAGTGACCTGCATTTTGGATCTGGGATCTTTTTACATTATTAAGGTGCTCAGAATTAAACTACTCTTTTCAAACATCCTTGAACCATAAAGCTGCTTCTTGTCAGCAGGTGGTTGTTCATAAAGAAAACTAATAAGGTGTCTTGGTGAACAGGTCTACTTGTGGGGAAAACAGGCATTGTTTCCTGGTCCCAGACTTCATGGGGTCTGTGCTGAGTCTCACTTTGAGGTGTTTTACCTGAAATGCAGTTGATGGTGCATGAAGATTCAAAAAAATGAAATAAGCATGCTTGCTTTGATGGGCTTTGGTGGTACACAATCACCTAGAGCATTCTAAAAACTTCAGCAACTATTTACTGATGCAGATTTCATTTTAGCTAGAAGCTTTGCATAAATGTTTATAGTGAAGAGGGAAATGTTACTGTGCACCCCTGACAGAATTGGCTGTGGGTTGAGTTCAGGCCCTGCCCAGCAAGATGTAGTTAGGCCAAAGCAAAACCCTGACTTAGCTCTCTGCTTCAAGCCTTAGTAAACCAGTGACAGGCAAAACTAGATAGTGCCCACATGTCTCAAAAGATCTCTATAAGACTGTCATCCAAATGTATGTGGGAACTACATTAAAACTTGTGCCAGCCAGCAAGCAAACAAAACACCCTGAGCCCTGCGTTGTGTCTCCTGTCCCAGGCAGTGGCTGTCCAAGGGAAGGTGGTGCCCAGCTCTGCTGCCTTCCCCTGGACCACACTCCTGCTCCATCCTTAGGTCTGTTGTTAACTTATGGATGGGGTTGGCAATTCTTGTGTAGCCTCTTCTGGCTGCTGACCCAATGGGCACAACCTTTCAGGTTTTCCGGGGGGAAAAAAAAGATACTAAAGAGTGTAACAAAGTTGAACCTGCCAGGAGGGCCATGGGGGGCATTGGGCATAGATGGCATTGCCACTCAGTCAGGGGAGGGGATTGTCCTGCTCTGCTCTGCACTGAGGCAGCCTCACCTTGAGTCCTGTGTGCAGTTTTGGGCACCACAATATAAGGAAGACATGAAGCTCTTAGAGACTGTCCAAAGGAGGGCAGTGAGGATGGTGAAGGGACTGGAGGAGAAGCCTTATGAGGAGTTGCTTGGGTCACTTGGTTTGTTCAGCCTAGAGGAGACTGAGGGGAGACCTCATTGGGGTCTTCAGCATCCTCCTGAGGGGAAGTGGAGAGGCAGGTACAAATCTCTTCACTCTTGTGACCAGTGACAGGGCCCGAGGGAACAGCTGGAGCTGAGTCAGAGGAGGTTTAGGTTGGATTTCAGGAGAAGGTTTTCACCCAGAGCGTGGTTGAGCACTGGAACAGGCTTCCCAGGGAAGTGATCACAGCACCAGGGCTGTCTGAGTTCAAGAAGCATTTTAACAATTCTTTCAGTCATATGGTGGGATTGTTGGGGTGTCCTGCACAGCACCAGGAGTTGGACTTGATCATCCTGATGAGTCCCTTCCAACTCAGCGTATTCTGTGAGTCTCTGAAAATGTTGCTAGGATGGTGGTGTCACTGAAGCCAGAAGTAAACCTCTTATCCATAAAATGAAATATAAGATTACACCCTCAGGAAATATAAACATTAAGGTAAGAAAATGTGTAATTACAGCATCTTTCTGTTGTCCAGTTCCCACTGCTTCAGAGAAGACAGGGCAGGGAATGATCTAAATAAATGAGTCCTCAGCCATCCTCCACTGGAACCAAGCTGGGAGGTGACCAGACTGTTGGAAGCCTGCAGGAATTAAAAAAAACCTCCAACTTTGTGATGGATTCTCCCTGTTCCCCGTCACTGAGATATCAATTGATTCCATTGCTTGGGTGTTCCTGCTATTAAATGACTGCTCCTAACATGTCCCATTCTGCAGTTCAACTGGCCTCTTGCTCTCCCAGTGAGTGTAGAAAATGGTTTATTTCCTTTCTAGAAACATGTTACATATTTGAAAATTTTACCATGTTTCCCCATAAACTTCTCTAGTTTTAGGAATTCCAGTTACGATAATTGCCATAATTTGTCATACAAGATTTCATTAAACTGACTTTTCACTGTGTGCTTTTTCTCCCCTTGTTATTTGGTCTTTCTGTGCACTGACTTGCTTAAATTGAACTCCAGACCATTGTGTGGGTAGCAGAGAAATTCAGACAGGAATTTATAAAGATATTTTAATTTTACAGGTATTTTTTCCCTCCTATGAAATCGGCACAGAGCAACACAGGTGCAAGAGAGAATTGCTAAACTAGGCTGTTAAAATCAGCCTTGATTTTTCTCTGCTAGGTGATGGTACAGGTATCTTGTAAAGAAATGCTCACAGATAATTTCTGTAAATAAAAGTCTCATTCAAATATAGAATTCAGAGCTCCCTTTTGACTACCTCCTTTCCAGGGCACTCCATTTTGTAAAGATACAAAAGCTGAATTTATCACCGAGAACACTGGTAATTCCATTGCAGGGGGTGGGCAGTGAATGCCTTTTCCAAGGATATCTGTGGGATATGTTTTAAATGAGCCACTCTTGATCGAATTTTGGTGGCTTTACTTCAGCTTCTGACGAAGCCTTGGAAAAGCTGAGTGGTGTGATGTGTTCCAGAGACCACGAGGTGTCATTGAGCCCCTGCTGCTGATAACACATACCTGAGCATCTGTGTACTGACTGTACACATGGGAAAAGCTTTTCCTCTTCTCTGAAAAGCTGCTCACTGTCTGTTGCCCGTTTAGCAGACAAGATAAATTCTGATTCTGGAGAGTTCAGACCACTTCATCTGCAGATAGGAAATCTATAGGACAAGGCCCTGTAAAAAACTTCCCAGAGGGGAGAATGGGGAAACGTTTTGAATGTGATTTGCTGCTGGATGGTTCTGCCATTTCTAAAAACGTTTCAGAGGTAGAAGGAACCCGGGTTATTTGTACCTTCTAGTAGCATGGCAAGCCACTCCCCTGTTTAAGGGAACTAATACTCTATAGCAGCAAACTAGTTTGTCTGTGGTTTAAATACTTGGAGCCAAGCTAGATGTTTTAAGAGTAATGTTACAATATATGTTGCTTTCCCTGGAACTTGCCTGTTTATGGTAAGGTAGCTGTTCTCTCATACTGTAACAGTTCTCTGATTAGCAGTCACTGCCTTGGGAGGGTCTTGCAGCCTGAGGATGGGTGGATATCTGCTGGATAACCCCTACCTGCAGTGTGCCAGTCCCCAGGGTGAGCTGCAGTCCGTCCACGAGGCAAATGAAGAGCTGCACAAAACTGGGTGCTGAGTCTTGTGCTACAGGCATTGTACCTGCTGCAAAAGAGGAGGGATGGGAATTGTCAGTCCCACCTCCCTTGTCTGTGAAAGAAGCAACACAGATCTGCCTGGGGATACAGACTCAGACGAGCTTTTAACAGCTGCTTGGAGCCCAGGATGCTGTTTGTTATTTAATGGTGAAGAGTCTTGCCCTGTGCAAGATTTGGTGGATTCCATGTATTTATATCGGGGAAGGAGCATTTGCAGCCTGTGCTGCCCTGGAGCTGAGGGTTTTCTCATCCTGCTGTCTGGAAAGGTGACAAATTCCTTTGTCTTATGTGCTTAGAAAGGACAAAGCTGCTCTAAAACCTGCTTCCTTTAGTAAACCACCGGTCAGTGCCTGATGGTGGCATTGGTTCTGTGTGTAAGAACAGCTACTCCTCCAGCACGCAGAGGAGGCAGCGCGGCATCCAAGAGACTGTCTCCACACCCCACAGCACCTCCTCCTGCCGCTGAGACAACCCTGGAGCGGAGGTGACTTGCCTGCCGTGCTGTGAGCACACCCCAGCACATCTTCGGTGTGACACAGCCCGGCCCAGCCACTGAACCACTGAACAGCACCGTCCCCCTTCTCTCCTCCCTTCTGCCGGGGCTCCTGAACTCCGACTTCACTGCCGGCCGGATCCAGCGCTGTCACGGCAGGGAGAGGAGCATTTGCAAGCGCTGGTGACAAACACCCATTCCTTGGGATAAATTGGGGCAGTAGCATCCAACTCCAGCTGTTTTGAGCTCCTGTCCCAGAGAAGAGGTGTTGTGGGGGGCTCAACATATTGGGAAATGCAGAAATTAAGCATTTAATGTGTTTTTCACGTACAGGGGAAAGAGAAAGAGGCAGGTGAGAGAAAGCTTGAGCTGTCATCCATACAGTTGTGGACTTCTTCACTCAGCTGTTGGAACTGGAGCTGTTTCAAGCGTCGGGAAAACAAAGGGAAGAGCTCTGCTTGAAGGCATGTCACTGAGAAGGCAGAGAGTTATGTTTTTATTAGCAAACTGTGAACAGCTGGAAAAATAAATGCATAAAAGCATCGGTATAGCCTGAGTGTGTCAAAGCATCTTTATTATTACAGGAGGAAAAAAAGGCCATATAGCAGTATAGAGACAGCCAGAGAATTAAAACGGAATCCTTGAAAATTCATAAAAGATGATCCAAGTCCAATTTAGTTATAGACCCTACACACACAAAAAGCCCCAAAACCTACACACCAACCCCCCCACCAAAAAAACCAAACAAACAACAAACAAAACCAAACCCCCAAAAGCAACCAAAACCAAAAAACACACCACAGCAAAACAAAGCCACAGCAATGCCCCGAGTCAGAGCCCCCGGTTTAGGCGGAGAGCCTGAGAGCTGCGGGTGGGGAAACTGGGAACACGGGGTAGAAATCCTTTAGGAAAATGATTGTACGGGTGCACTGGGGCACCGGATGGGGCGGGACACGGACTGTCGGGCCCGGATCGGGGGGTCCTGGATCGGGGGGTCCCGGCTCGGGGGGTCCCGGCTCGGAGGGTCCCGGATTGGGGGTTCTCGGATCGGGGGGTCCTGGATCGGGGGGTCCCGGATTGGGGGTTCTCGGATCGGGGGGTCCTGGATTCGGGGGTCCCGGATCGGGGGGTCCCGGATCGGGGGGTCCCGGCCCCGGGGGGGGCGGGGTGGGGGGGGGCGGGGGGCGGAGCTCGTGCCCGCGCGGTGCCTCCCCCGGGCGCGCCCCCGCGGGACGGGGCGGGGCCGCGCGTGCTCTCGCGGTGGCTCCGCCGTGCCCTTGTCGCCATGGCGGGCTACTGGGACGGCCCCGAGGGCGAGCAGTGCGCGCAGCGGACCTGGCTCACCACGCGCGTGGGCGCGGCCGCGGGTGGGCAGCGTGAGGGGGGAGCGCGGGGGGCGCGGGCGGGCGGCCGAGCGGGGCCCGGGCCCGGCCGCGGGCGGTGACGGGCGGTGCTGTGTTGCAGGCCTGGTCGGGACGGCGTATCGCATCATCCTGCTGCGGCCCGGCTCGGCGCTGGCCGCGCTGCAGATGGCGACGGCGGACAGTGTCACCATGGGTAAGGGCCGGGACCCCCGGACAGTGTCACC